TTGTCTCCCCAATTTCCACATATTCATCTATTATATTCGCTGAAACACCATAAGCCAACTGACGAATAGCGCAAGTGGCCTTTTGTAAAGTTGATAGGCCAAGCTGAAGGCAGCAGTCCTACAGAACATGGCAAATCAGATCAGATACAGGCACTTTGAAATCATGTAGAAAGAAAAGGTCCTACATATCTTTGGACCCAAAAGATATCATGGGCTTCAAGTTTTGCACAAATATCCAAAAACATATCTCTGCTCATTCTGAAGCGTCTCTCAAAAATCTCTCCAGCCCAGCGGGCATTTTCATTAAAGTAATCTCTACCAAGGCGTGCATTGGCCTCTTCTCTTTCACGTTTGATCCTTCTTCTTCGGTTCTTTTGTTCATAATTCATCTGTTCATCCGTCAACTCTAGGGCCAAGAAAGCCTTGTCACTATCGTCATCATCTGCTGCGTACTGCTGAAGTTTCCGGATGTGATTGAACATAAAGGAGTTTGAAAGGAGCTCGTTTATTTGTATGTCGTATTCTGGATTGTCGCGAGTGGGCATTTTGAAAATCGATTTTTGCGAAGGTTTGAGCTGTGGTTCAAGATTTACAGTTCAGGAAAAAACTGTGCGATGGTGGCACAAGTGAATATCTGTACATTACCTACTGTACTGTCAAAGACTGATTTTTGTAGAGTGGGACAAAGCTAGAAGGACTAGCGTTAGTGCTATTCTACCGAAACAAAATGATAATGTGACTATTGCATAAAAGAGAAATGTAGTTCTACCTAGAAGGACTAGCGTTAGTGCTATTCTACCGAAACAAAATGATAATGTGACAAGAGAAAAGCTGACACAAGTTTCAGAAGAACACAGTAGCTTTTATACAAAACTTGTTTCACAAGGCATTTACAATATGACGAAACATGAGAAAGAGAAACCCTGGTTTAGATGACAATCTTCATAAACCTTCTGACCGGTTTGAGCTAAACCTTCCTAATCATTCTAACTAGCCTAAACCGAAAACAGGTGAGTTGGCTGAGTGGCTTGTCTGCTTTGGTGCCTAGCCGGTCTGAGCCTTAACAATTTTGACGATAGTGGATTTGGACCGTACAGTATCTAATGACACTGTACTTTACAAACATGTACCGTACCGTTACAGTAATTTTACAGGAGATGCTCTTAGAGCATCTCCTATCGTCTTGGTAAACGGCTTTGGTACGGTAAATTTTACCGTACCGAGGGTCAAAATCCCCAATCGTGTCAAAAACACGCATCGGTACCTACAGAATCAGCAGAAATTCTGTAGAGGTCCAGTAAATGTACTGGACCTCTACCGATTCTGCAGAGGTCGGTATCTGCAGATCTGCTCGACTTCTACCGAGCAGATCATACAACTCATCCTCAAAATCACAGTCCCAACTCCCACTTCCCACTACACCTGTATATACATCACCATCAAACACCATTTTTGAGGTGTTGGTACCTCTTCCATCTTGTAAATTCTTCATTTTTTAGATCAAGCGTCTTCAAAGGGTCATTTTTTCATAAAAAATTCGTTTTCTTATTCAATCGTTTTCAAATTTATCATCTTCAAATTAATTATCATCTTCAAATCAATCGTTCTCAACTTATCATTTTCAAATCGATTGTTTTCACATTGATCGTTTTTGAACCAATTGTTTTCAAATCAATCGTTCTCAAATCAATCATCCTCAAACCAATCCTCTTGTTTCAAAAGTGATTATTTTGAACTTAGTTGTTATCAGATCAGTTGTGTTCTTTGCAAACTGATTCCTCTCGGGTGGATGTTTGTCTGATAAAAGAACACTTTTCAACCATAAGCCTTTGAAATCAAGTGTGAGATTTACAGTTTTTTTACCAAATGCACGATAGTGGGAATGAGGTGTTTCTGTACTGTACGTACTGTAATTTGTTTGAGATAAAGTAACGATAGTGGAAATCCACTGTTCTGTATCTAAAGATACTGTACCGAGTGAGTATGTACAGAAAATTTACAGAAGATTTACTCAAACGATAGGAGATGCTCTAACTGGGTGAAATACATAGACCTAAACCTAACATGGGCACACCACCCCAAAATCAAGCCCAAAAGGCGTGCCCCGGGGGCAGGCCAATTGTGCCCCGCCCACCACGTGACAGTCAATACTCAAAGTTCATGGTAAAAGAATAAGGTCAATCTACAGTCAACTCTCCATAAAGGCATACCTTTCATGGGCATATTCCCTCTAAATGCATAGGTTTTTATGAGGTTTTTCCCCACCAAAATGGGATTTGCCAGCCAAAACAAGATTTGTAAAGGCATATTCCTCTAAATGCATAAGAAAACTGCCCGCCAAACTGTATGCCATTAGAGAGAGTTGACTGTATATCGCATTTGGTGTTCTTTTTACAATCTCCTTAAGCAGGGGATGTGTGGTTGAGCTTTCTTGAGTGACTACGAATGCACTTGCCAATATCTCCCAATACCTTTGGTCTTAGTCCTGGCCTTGTGCTGACTTGTGAGGCTGCGAGACGCAAAACAGAAGTTGCCATGTGTGACTGTTGTAAAGCCCGTCGTTCAGTGTCCACATGCAAGGGATCCGAATCAGGAAAATATGGGTAATTTAAATTCACCTGATCCGATGAAGGAGATGATCAGATAAATTGGAAGATGAAGATGAAGAAATTGTTCATAAACCTGAACTTTGATGAATGTAAGTCTGGTAGTAAAGGAAACTTTGATAGTGTATGATTCTAGGGTTCAGCTCTGTTGGTCTTTGCTCTGTTTTCCTTCGCTCCTCTTCCCCTAAAATGATGATCAACTAATAAATCAGATACTATATATCTAAGATCACAATCGATCGATTCGAATGAATTTATTTAAAAAGATCATTTGATTGATCATTTATTATTGTTTTTGATTGTTTGTTTAAGTGTGTGAGCAGTGAGAAAGAAAGAAGAAGAAATTAGCCGAGTGGATTGATTGATTGATTGTGATTTGATGGGAAAATGAAAGAGAGGGTGTTTGATGATTCTAGAATGTCGAAGAACTAGTTGAACTTGAAACGAGGAGATTGAAGGTTGAAAAGTATGATTTGGTAAGGTTTGGTAGGCTTGATAGGAATTGAATATCAGTTTGGAGTCAAGTTTCAAGAAGAATGAGAATCAGATTAAATTAAATTTGTAGATACAGTTACAGTCTATGATCTGATTGATCCAAATGGTCTGCTCGTGAGACCAAAGATAAAAGAAAAGAAACCTATCAATCAATCATTAATCATCGTCAATTCGATAGATATTTCTCACTGATTACTCTTGACTTTACTCCCATCCAAAGTCTATCAAAGCTCTTGACTCTTGAGAAGCAGCTTCATTTGGATTGATTGATTTGATTGATTGATTGATTGATTTGATTTGATATCTGGATTGAGAGTTTCTTTCTAAAGTTTGGCCTTCTCTTGTTTGATCTCAACTTGATCTTGAAGATTTCTTTTTGATTTGTCTAGAAGCAAAAGCTTTGATTTTGAATCATTTATTAGTTTTTCTTAATTTTCTATCATTTCATTGAATGTTTTAAGATTGATTCTTATTATGAATCACAATCAACATCAAACTCATCGATATCCAATTCAAACATCGAATACTTCAAATTGGAATTCTAATCCATATCATCATCAAGAAAATCAAAGACCATCTTCATATCATTCTTCAAATCAATCTCTTCATCATCATCATCATCCGATCTCATTTTCACCTTCTTTCTCATCATCACCAAGATTACCATTACCAGTACCAGTACCATCTTCATCTTCATCATCATCAGCAGCAACAACAACAACAGCACCAACATCTGCAATCTGTAATTCTACCAATTCTCAGATTAAATCTAATTTAAATTTCGTCCAATTACCATCAATCAATACATTCAATCTAGTCACAAACTCATCAACACCTATCAATCAATTTCATCTGATCACAAACACTACTGTTCCTCAATCAAATTACAATCCTCATATCAATCCTACTACTACTACTAGTACCGGAAATCATATTGGAATTTCATCCGTTCATCCTATCTCTTTCAATACCGGATTTCATCAGATCACTTTACCAAACCCAATGTCGGCTTACTATCATCATCATCATCACCATCATCATCATCATCATAATTCTAATTCGTTTTATAACAATCAACCATCATCATCAAAACATTCAAAATCACACTCCTTTCATCAACATCATCATCAACATCATCAATCTATTCAATCTCCAAATCTAAATCAAATCGATCATCCTTCTTCTTCTTCTTCATCCATCAATCCTCATCTAGATCATCAAGCTCATATGAAACCAACTCCTAGTACTTCTTGTTCTACAATCTCATTGAGTTCTTCACCTACCATTTCAACTTGCTATGAACTTCATCATCCTGAACCTCAATGGATCACTTTTCATCATCAAGCTCATCCCAACTCACCCATCAATCAATCTCAACTTCAATCAGCAAATATGAAGTATTCGAATTCGAACCATCAATCTAGTCCTACTTCTAGTGCTACTTCTAATTCAAGTCATCCTTTACTCTCACCTACCACAACGATTGAAACTAGTTCGTCAAATAACCCGTCTCCTTGGACTCCTGATCATACCAAATCAGCTACATCACCTCATCCACTTCATGTAAATCATTATCAACATCTCTCGTTTTTGAACAAATCATCCTCTGATGATCAACACACTCCATCACCATTGATGGATTATCAAACGATCTCACCTCTACATCAATTACCTTCTGAACTTCAATCTCACCATCCCTTTGATCAATTCAAAATCTCTCATTCAAGACCTAATCAAACTGGACCACAACCGTCATCAACAAATCAAAGATCACATTTACCTACTACCTCTGCATCTAGTCAGATCGAACCTCTTCCGTTTATACCGAAACACATACCTAGCTCTCCACCTATCAGTGAAGATCGACCGAGATCAGTATACCGAAAAGGAGCGCAATTCGGATTAAGTTTATCAGATTTTGAAGTGATTTGTACATTAGGAACGGGAACGTTTGGAAAAGTTTTGTTAGTCAAACTAAGATCATCATCACAAGACAGATCAAGCGATGAATTCTATGCAATGAAAGTTTTATCAAAAGTAGAAATCGTAAGATTAAAACAAGTAGAACATATGAATTCAGAAAAAGATTTATTAGCCTTAGTGTCTTCACAACAACCTGAACCGAAAGGTTGTGTGAAATTGAATTGTACCTTTCAAGATGAACGTAACTTATATATGATGTTAGAGTTTGTACAGGGTGGTGAATTGTTTAGTCATCTTAGACGAGCTGGTCGGTTTACATCGGATGTGGCTAGGTTCTTTGCGGCTAATGTCTTGTTGGCCTTACAAGGTTTACATGATTTGGATATCGTTTATAGAGATTTGAAACCTGAGAATATCCTTTTGGGTCCCAACGTAAGCTTTTTCTTGAAGCTCACCATCCTAAATACCTTTTTAGCTCATCTTGCCTTTTTTTTCTTTCCGATACTATGGACTCATATAGGGTTACATTAAATTGACGGATTTCGGATTTGCTAAGAAAGTACCAGATCGAACGTGGACTCTATGTGGTACACCAGAATACCTAGCCCCTGAAATCATTCAATCTAAAGGTCATGGAAAACCAGCAGATTGGTGGGCATTTGGAGTGTTACTGTATGAAATGTTATCGGGATTTCCACCATTCTTTTGTTCAGATGGATCAGGACCATTTGGGATTTATGAAAAGATTTTGAGTGGTGAATTAGGATTTCCATCACATCTTGATTTATTAGCACAAGATTTGATCACTAGACTCTTGATGAATGATCGATCTAAACGATTGGGAAACTTGAAAGGTGGTGCTAATGATATTAGAGATCATCCTTGGTTTGCTGGTGTGGATTGGGATGCATTGGGTCGTCAAACGATTCGAGTCAGTCTTGCAAAGTTTTTCTATATCTCCTTTTTGGAATCTTTTATCTGTTTTGGTTTGGTTTTTTTTTGATTGATGGGTTTGTGGTTTGGGTACTTTTTGGAATAGGCTCCAATCTTACCTAGGATAGGTGTACCGGGAGATTCATCGAATTTTGAAAAATACCCGGAAGTTAGATTAGAAGATTTGCCTGGAATGATGAGGTCTCATGGTACACAAATTAATCCATCTGTTTCAGATCCCTATGGTGTATGTCATCCTTTTTTTTGATTGATGGATTGATGGATTGATTCTGTTATCTTTTGATCATTAATCTGATTTTTGCATTTTTTTGGGGGGGTTTTTAGCATTTGTTTGAATCTTTTTGATACATGAACTGAGATATCACCTGTGTAAGGAGGAATGTGTTCAATTCTTGTAATGTTCTGTTTTTTTGCTTTGGACTTGAATTACTTTGGAAAGGTTTTTTTCTGTTTCTTAAGATGTTGTTGTGTGATATGTGAGTGATGGATTCAAGGTTTTCTAAAGCCGAAAGTGTTTTTTTCAAAAAAAATCAGTAGTTTAGTCATTAGGATATTTTTTCATAGTTTAGTTATTAATCCTTTTTTTCCTAGTTTAGTCATTAAACCCCTTGGATAGAATGGTTTTTTTTTGGTTTTTTTTTGGTTTTTTGGTTTTTGGATAGGTTTGGTTTTTTCAATGAAGAGATATATATATATCATCATGGTTTACAAAATGGATCTTAAGTCTTGAAATCAGTGTTTTTTCTGCTGTGTTTGTTTGGAGGGTTTTTTTCTATGATCATTCAACTTGTATCCCTTTTTTCTGGAAGAAATGAAGAAAAAATTCAATGAATTCAACTTGATCTTATTTTCTATCTCTGTTCCTGTTTTTTTTACAAGATTTTTTTTTTTCATATACTAGAGTTTTGTGGGCGGCCAGCCGCCCTCCCGTATCTTGATCCGTGAAATCTTGGTTGTAGCAACATAGTCTGCTTCAAGTTCCAACACTAACACCATACTGTGCCATGGCCACATCTCCAACCAATTGTTTTAAGTATTGTCATTCAGACATTTTAATCTGTGCCTTTCTCCCAACATACTGTCCCGGTGTCCTTTGTCAATGCCACAGTGGCCATGTCTGATGGCAATGCCGCAGAAAAGACATCACAATCAATTTTACTTTGCCCCATCACCACCACCCCGCTGCTAGAAAATGTCCGCCTTACTATGATTTGCATGAGGGCCATGAATGATGGTGCTGGATTCCTCTGCACCGTGTCAAATAGGCACAATGAATGTGTACTTAAGCTGGGTGGCATGATGATCAGGCGATATAGACCCTGAGCTGGTGTCAACATCACAATCAAGAGATGGGTCTTGTAGCTCCGCCACACGGTCTTTAATGAATGGTGTGAATTGCTCATGGCAATGTCCAAGCCCATGAAGAAAGGGTTTGGACCCCAACATATGACTTCTTGATTGTCATGATCATATGGTCACGGAGATTCAGGATTCCAAGGGATTTCACTGTTATAGCTATGACCCTGGCATGACAATGATAGGGTTTAAGATTTGTGGCAGCATCTTTTTTTTTTGTTTCAAGCACATTTTCTTTTATTTGTTTGATATCATTGATTCTTACCAAGAATATTGAGTAAAGTGATTTTATTGTACTTGATCTTATAGTTCTACAACCTTCCTCAAGCCCTTGTAAGCTTTAAAGTGGTGGTTCTAAGCTAGTGGGAATAGCTATAGAATCAAGCTTTAGAAATGCATAGGATATATCCTGAGACTGAGTGTAAAGTATCCAGCAGAGCCTTTGAGTAATCAAAGTGTAAAGTTCTGCAGGCTGTGAGAGTGCACTTCAAACCAGAGCTCAGAGTAAGATCCTTTGAAGGATTACTCAGCCACCCCACTGGAATCAAACCCTCTTCTTAGAGTTTACCTAACTGTAGTCTTCACTTGGGTGCACCAAGGGAAGAGTTCCTCTTTGTCCATTCTTCACCTTTTTTAGTGAAGTGTCAACCCAACAGTAGCTGACTCCTTGCACCCACACCATGGCTCTGTACAGGGGTGTACAAGATAGTACTGTTAGGATCCGCCTGACATTGTGCATCCTTCCACATGGATGAACAAGGTTTACAGAGATGATGAAACATCCAGGCTTGAGGCTAGAACACAAAACTAAGAGATGCCCACACCATGGCTCTTTGCAGGGGTGTAGATAGTACTGTTGGGATCTGGCAGACATTGTGCATCCTTCCATATGGATAAACAAGGTTTACCAAGAAAATTATTCAAGGTAGTAGAGGATATTTTTTTGGACTGTATTCAAGTATTAAAGTGTTTCTCAAAGAAATTTGAAAAGCCATATATTAGCACTCGGGTTCTGTGCAGAGGTGTACATATCACTACTGGGAATCACCAGTCATTAGCGGTGTACAAACCCACGACCCAACTTGAAAACCCATGAGAAAAACCCATGAAAACCCAACTTGTTTTTGGGTTTTTTTGACGGGTTTTTTCTCATGGGTTGAAATTGGCTAGATCTGATCACCCATTAAAGAAAGAAAATTAGCTGAGTCCAACATCCCCCTTCCTTGCCGACACAACACCTCCAAACTGTCCAGAAGCCTTCCACCAAACAGTCTTACATCCCATCAACTCCTGGAACTCGTGCTACAAAATCTCAAGAACGAATTAGCTTCAACTCCTCCTAAGAGATGTCCAAAATGATGACGACTAACCGAGCTACCAAATTGGCCACAAAAGAAAACATCACAATCTCAAAGATGAATGTCAAGCTGCAAAAACCTTTTCATGTAAAAGATATAACACAATTAGATTTGATTTGAGTAACAAGTTCATCATTATTATAAATTCGATCTCGCTCAACTTCTTCTTCATATTGTTCAACTTTTCAATTTATCATTTTCCTCGTGAAGAAGTGATACTAGGAATAGGTGATAATTTTTTATCATCCACAGCTCCATTATTGGCTTATCAAATAGTTTCATTTTTTTACCTTAATCAATCAACCAAAAATTGCAGTTAGTTCTAGAGAGTGACTTGTTTCAATCTTTTTTATTTTAATCAATTATCTTTGAATACCTTTTATTAAATGCGCTGATCTCAATAAAATCTATCCGTGTGAACGTGAGCGTGCCGTCGTGGAGGGAGAGTGTGAAAAACCCTTTTATT